GGAAATCAGAGACCCACCATGCAGAGCTAAGTACGAGTGTGTGTGTGTGTTTGTGTGAGTGCATGTGTATCAATAAATACAAGAGTCTTATCTTTGTGTGCAGAAGGATGTCTTTACGTTGTGGACATGAGCTTATCGCTATTCTGTACAATTTCCCTAACCCCACCTCATGTATTTTAAGTGCACGGGGCAAGGTATCCAACTGTCATTACTTGTTCGCCACCCAGCCAGGTGAGATAAGTTGTTAAACTCAGCCAACACAAACTGTCTGTATTCTTTTGCCTAGCGATTTACATCAGAGGCAAGGGGCAGCTGAGAACAGCAAAGCAAAAACCGACCTCAAAGAGAAGTAAGAAATGATGGATGAAAAGACAGAAAAATGAACTGTCGGCTCTATTACGTGTAGTCTTTTTGAAGTTTTTGATTGTAGCAGACAAACACTGGAGCTGTTAAAAAGTTATACATTGAGCCCATCAGAACCAACGCACTTGTCATTCCCCATGGCGTTTTCGCACATTTCTACAGACAACTTTTAAAAGCTTTGCTTGTTTATGTGCTCATGTTTTGTTTAGATGTAAGTGAATGTTTGCGTGTGCAGACAAGTTCTTTTGTGTGCGTGTTCGCACGTGCTTGTGCGAACCTGAGATGTTTCCCTCTCCTAACAAACCAACACAAACATCCAAACTGAATTAAGCGTCTACCCCTCACTCTTGCTCCAGCGGGTGTTTAGCGGGTGCTCTAACGTGATCTGCTTTTTCTTTCTTATTAAGCATCGATTGTCCTGATCTCTCCTCCTTCTTTTTTGTTTTTATTTTCTTGTAACACCTTTTATTTTCTGCACTTATTATGACTTTATTGTGTTGGAAGAGCCGTAAAACTCTTACTAAAAAACTCTTTTAATTTTATCCAGGTTAGACTACGGACACTGCGCGAGCAAGATTGCACAAGCCAAGTTCAACATTCGGGACCCGGACTACTTCCATATGGAGAGTAGGTTGAATAATCAGCCAGCCATCTCCTCCTCTCCCTCCTCCTCCTCCTCCTCCTCCTCC